AGACACTCTCAATATATATTTGGCTAGCTAAAACTGAGTCCAAGACAGGACACTGAAAGGTTCATCAGGTACTCAACCACAGTACTGGGTCTCATATCATGGCCAACTTGCAAGCTTACGCGGAGTAGATACATCAAATAAATAGAGCTAGACGACCATGTTCTTCAACAGGCAATATCGATATCAGATCTTCAGTACTTCAGTTAAGGCAGCAACATTTCATACAATAATCAAGTATTTTCCATGGACACTACTACCTTCTGCTTCGCTGATAAGGTTCCTAGAAGAGGGCAAGTTCTCAAGAACATTATATCTCAGATCTTCAGTGACTTGAAGCGGTATTTCAGATCATTAAATGTTCTTCATGGTGACACACAGCTTTGATTTTGTGTCTCCAAGAACTAGAAGAGGGCAAATTCTCAAAAACATTATGAGATCCCTCTTTATTCTTACAGGGAATTATCTCCAGAACGTAAATTTGTGGGATCGATCACTCGATCTTCTATTTTCTAGATCCGGTTTGCTTTTTCCAGGAATCCTCCCGGTTGCCTGATCAGCTTTTTCCTTCTCTACCAACATGCTAGGGAATTCTCTCTCTGTCTCTGGGGTTTATGTACTTAATTTGAGTTCGTATGGGTTGATTCCTGATCCTAGTGTTTTGTTTCACCTGTTCTTGCTTACTCGTTTGGAAGGAGTTAGAGATGTGTCTTCATTTCATTTTGTTCAAAGTGTGGAAAGGTTATGCTAAACACGATGATCTTACTTTTTAGTATATAGGTAGCTTGAGTGGAACCCCACCCAAGAGTTAGAATAAAAAGATTCAATTTTATAATTATTTTGACTACAAAAATCTAAGGGTATCGAAGATCAAGAGAATGAAAGCCATCAATTTTCCAAAACAATTAAGGGGGTGTTTGATTCAGTATTGTTGTGTTGCTGGTGTGTTTAGGGATGATCAATACAAATTTGTATTTTACTCGAGCTTCATTTGATTTTTCTAATTGAAATGACACTCATATATGATGTGGCAAACTGGCGACACATATTTCTTACAAATTTATAATGATCAATAATCCAAATGGCAACAGAAATTCAACGCCACTCTACCAAACACCTTTTAAAAATTAATATGATTTACAAGAAAAATGGTCAATGACGAATACCCCCTGAACTTTTATTTGCAACAAATACCCCTGACTGTTAAGTTAGATGACGGAACCAGCTAATTGACCAAAAATACATTCACTTTTCCAAACGTAACCAGTTAAAAAACACAAGAATCATTTCAGTGGCATAGAAAATAGTTTTTTTTCTTTTTTAATTCTTAATTCATTTCACTGACGATGTCTCTCTTCTTCTTAAAATTGAAAAACTATATCCACTCATTTCTCCAATAAATCAAGAAAAGCCAAACAAAACTATTAATTTGTATCTATCAGAAAGAAATCTCTACCATTTTATTTAAATATTGAATCCAGCCAGAAATCTGTAAGGATCTATCGGAGCAACCGAGAGGACTTCAATGTTATTTATAAAACTAATTGAATCACAAATCATTCAAATAAATAAGAAAATGGTAGTTTGGGGATTTAAAGAAATATAAACAGCTGAATGAGAATCCTTTTCAAAGTTAGCTAACAGAACTCTAACGGAGGTGGATATTTTGTCACAAAGTGAAAGTTCAGGAGGGTCATTACTTGTCACAAATAAAAGTTTAGGGGGATATTTGTTACTGACCCCATAGAGGAGGGTCTTTTTAATTTACCCAAAAAATGAAATTGACAACATATATCTTAATGTTAATTATTCACATCATATCCCAAGGAAGGGGATGAGGAGGTAGAGGTTGAAAAGTGGTCTAAGGCCCTTGCGGTGGGCTGATTTCTTTTGGTTTAGCCCAGGTGGTGGCGCTTTGGTCCTTTTCTTGGGTCTGGTTTCTTTGTTGGGCCTAGGCCTGTTTAATAGGTTTTTTGTTGTTAGGTCTTCAGAAGACCTAGTGTCATGGTTCTGCTTAGGCCCAGGTGTTGAGCCTCTGGTGTGGGCCTGGGCCTTTTCTGCAGTTGTATACGATTCATATGTTTTCTTTTGATAAAATTTTATCTTTACCATTTTATAACATTCCAATCCATTCTTTTGTCTCAGAATATTGACAAAAATGAGACTATATATATTGAGAAAAGGATAATGTATTGGAGAAGCAAAAAAGTTACAAACCCTGCTCAACAAGAAATTGAAGCAAAAGTTTATTACGTGTCTGAACTAGATAGTAGATACAAAAAAAGATTTCTATGATAAAAAAAAAAAAAAGGAATATCCTTTAGCTGTCCATGCATTGCAGATCAAGAATAGAATCTTCCCCATATGCTTTTTAGGATTGTATCCTCGGAATTGCACTTGTTTTCAAAAATTCCCCTGTTTCTTTCCAGCCAAAAATACCAAACTACTGCTGCTGGGACCACTCCCCATAAAACATTCCCTCTCTTGGACAGACCCTCAAGTTGCTAGCATTCCGATAGAAAAGAAATCAAATCTTTTGGAAAACAGAATTGAACTTCAAATAGCCCCAAGGCTTTTCCCCAAATCCAGCTAGCAAGTTTGCTTGATCCCTCAGCCAGATCCTTTTATCCGGGCTAGAGGGGTCTGGCCTGATAAAACTAAGGCTCTGCATCAACTCCAATCAGTGTGCTATTTTCCAATTATTCAGATTCCTTCTGAATATGGAACACCAATCTCCTATAAATCTACCAAGGGAGTATACCTCAGCTACTAGATAGACAGTCCTTATTTTGGGCTAATTCAAACAGTGTTGGTAATCTTTCTTTCAAAGGGCCCTCCCCACACCACTAGTCCTTCCAGAATCCAGAACACCCTGAGCCACCACCAATTTTAAACTTGGTTTCCTTTTTAAAACCAAAGGCTGATTTCTAAATGCATTTCCAAACTGAACACCTAAAAGATAAGCTGGATTCTCGTGGGGCCTAGTTTAAATTGGTCGAACCATACTTAGCCAAAATCACGATCTTCTCCATAGACTGTTGGACTGCTCATTCCACCTCCAAAACCATTTGCCTAGGCAAGGTATATTGAATTTTCTTAATTTTCTCACCCCTAGGCCTCTAATTTTTCTTGGTTTACAAACCTTATTACAGTTGAATAAGTGTATTTTGGATCCCTCCTTCCACCCCTTCCATAGAAAATCTCTCATTCTCCTCTCAATTGTCTTTGCCGCATCATTAGGAATTAGGAAGGGTGAAAGAAAGTAAGTTGGCAAAGAGGAGAGCACACTTTTGATTAGGGTTAGCTTCCCTTCTTTTGATAAGTACTTGGTCTTCCAGAGAGCTAGCTTCCTGTCTATTTATATTTACATTCAGTTTTCAAGCATCCATTGTGTTCTGATGTTTATGATATGATTAAAGCAAACAATATATTAAAAAAAAATGCTCTTTTCATCAAATGATGATTATCCACACTTTAAGAGAAAAAAAAAACATATTTTGAAGTCCTAAAAGAAATATCTCTATGTGAAGTTTTTAAGCCATGGAAGTGGAAATAATTATTGTAGATTTTTTATTTCCTCGTATCTTCAAATGGCTACCCTTGGATTTGTGATTGAGGAAGAATCGACTCTACAATTCCAGATTCCCTTCGATTTGTGAGTTAGTCACACTTAATAGTTTTGCTTCGTTCACTAGTTACAACTGATGATCGTCATATGCTTCCCACTCATTCTTCTTTTAATGCGTATTAACTGATGATCGTCATATGACACCCTTGATTGTTGGTTTATAGTTCTATCCATGCCATCTAGCGGCTTTTCAGCAGTCATCCCCTACTTCTGACTCAATTGCTGGTTCTATAATTCCACCAATGCCATCTAGTGGCTATTCAGCAATATGTACCTCTTTCTTAACTGACTCAATTGCTGATTCTGTGGTTCCACCAATAACACAATAGTCAATCATATGTTATTATCTGTTTATTTTCAAAATGGTTAATGCTCTGCCAACAAAAGAAAAAGGGTTGATTTAAACTTTCTAAAGATGGTCGGTTTCTCAATTATTTCATTGAATAATCCAGTCGATATGGATCCATGGTGCTCATCCCTATCATCTAGGGACCGTTCCAGTAGCTTTCTTCTAAATCTTATGTCATACTTGGTTTTGTCCAATTCATCTTATCTCATGTTTTTTTATAGCAATGAACTCTGCCGATATACTAGAAGAATGTCTATATTAAAGTGTTGCGGAAAAGACTCAAGAAAACAGATTTTAATGGCATTCAAAATAAAAATAAAACATAGATAAAAAGAAACAAGCACAGAGAACATACACAGATTTACGTGGTTCAGCTTATAACCTACATCCATGGGTGAAGGAGGAACAGAAATCCACTATGAAGTTGGTAATGAAAAAGAAATTGTATTCTCACAGAAAACCCTAAGCCTCAAATACACCCAAGGTCTCACTTGTCTCTCACAAGATCAGATTCTGTACAAAAGAGAAAACCCCCGAAATACATAACTTTTTATATTCGGTTCTAACCTATAAGATAAATATGGGTGGGTCTAAAAATTTGCCTTCAGATTTTTCTCAAATTTATTTGGAACGGACTCATGAAGCAACACACCACAAAGAATTCAAGGCACAAATATAATAGAAAGCTTTAAATCTTCAACATTGAGAATCTGCAGACACCTTGGCATTTCAAAGCTGAGGTTAAGGTCATGAAATCAGTTCTCGTAGCCAAGTCTGGGCTCTGTTTCCAGAATCATCAGCTTCAATCCAAGCTCTTTTTTTGGGTAAATAGCTTCAATCCAATGTCAGTTGGCCAAACGAGCACGAATCAAGCTTGAGGTGGGCTGGTTGGGAAGTACAGCATTGAATAATCTTTTGATCTCTGGTTGTAGAAGTTGCCATTGAATGGTCCTAAATACTAGTATCAATAAAGTAATTAAATTAGCTGAGTCAATCCCTAGCAAGGCAAGTAAGAGGGGAGCCAAGTCCGATAACTCTGATCTTAATAACTTTGGAATCGTTAGAAGCAAGAATTCAACAGATTGATTGTTTCTGAGCCCGAGCCAATCTGGGAAATGTTTCTCGACTTGCTTTGTCTATAGCCCTATTTTGCATGGGTGACTGCTGTAAGGCCATAAACCCAGTCAAGCAACATCCAAAAAAACCATTAAATTGGGAGGATAAAATTCCACCCATGCTTGAAAAGGCGGCCCGACCATAATACATGATCATCTAACCACAGCTTTTTTGACGTGTAATATACACTGTCCAAAAGAAATTAATATAATTGCTTTGAATAGGGATTAGGGGCCACCTAGTCAGGTTCTTCTCAGACAAATTTGGCATATTTCTCTTTTTTTTTTCTTGTTGTCAGAACATCTAGTAGGTCTAATCCATGCCTACCCCTTACAATAACAAACCAATCCCCCCGACCTAGCTTTACAACATCACATCTGATCCACATTACTCAACCTCTTTTGGATGACAAATTCCTCCTCTCCTCTTTTATGGGCTCTTTTTCACAAGCTTCCTCTGTTCACCGTAGGGAGTAAAGTGTTTTAGTAATATCTTCCACGTTCTGCAAAATAAGTTAATGGGTCTTGTGGATGGTAAGGTCTTTTGCACCTTGTGCCAAAACAGGTTGCTCCCTTATGCGAGCTAAGAGGATAGAAATTTGCTCAGTTGCCATGTCTAACCGCTCCCTTGACTTGGCTGATTCTGTAATAAGAGTTGACACCATAGACTGCAGTGCCTGAACACGTTCAGCATGATCATTCGGGGTAGTCTGGAGGAGTTTTGTGGGTGATGTGTTGATTCGACGCCAACGGAGAGGTAGATACCGTTCTGGGATTTGAAAACAGTTCCCTGTTGAGAGGACCCGAAGCGCATGACGGCATAGGATCCCCGAGAACTCAAACTGATGGCAGCTACAGGTTATGATACCTTCTCGAGGGATCCAAATCACTTTCCGGCCTCCTTCCAACTTGGTGTGGTGTCTCACATGGAAAGATCCATCATCCATCTGAAATGAAGCATAATGTGCAGCCAAGACAAGTTCTTCCTGGAGTTTACAGAAGGCATAAGGTGTGAGTACTGTAGCTGCATGGGATTCCATTGGGGCCCCTGTCTTGAGGCAAATATTTTGAAGATTTTGTTGCATTGTTTGCTGCTCTCCTGCTTGATCTTTGAAATCAACAGCAACCGCTACCTTTATGTGCAAAGAAAATGTAAGTGAAAGGGAAACCTCATAGACATATATGAGACATTTATGAAAAGGAGATGATGCTCAAACATAAAACATGACTGGATTGCTTGGGCTGTTTCACCAAGTATCATATTCAAGTTGTGTCCCATGCTTATGCAATTTCCCCAGAAATGTTTAACCTGTCTAAGCTGATTTTAACCTTGCACTCAACGAATAAGAGTTTTACATTCAACCGAATGATCCAAATACAGTCAAAGAATGATCCAAGGTTCAAAGACATTGCCTGGCATAGGAGATGAAGGCTTTACCAGTTCCACTTCTGCTTTCATTACATATAATCAAACAATTTTAGACAATTCCCCATCAGTTTATAATCTATGAGATTCAATTCAGATTTTGTTCTTCTAGGCCTGTTGTTTGCCATGACATTGTAGACCTAAAAATGGACCATCTAGAAAGGCATAGTGACATTGTCAGTTGATTTATATCCATAAAGCAAATGTATATATTGATTACCGATAATAAAAGGGAAAACTTGCCTCCGTCTTTCATTAACCCTGCATTTTATTTTTCCATTTCCTTTTCTATCATCTTTTTCATGTTTCTCTCTTGAATCCATTGGACAAGTGGAGTGATGCCATCCATCCTTTGTCCATATTCATGGTTTCAAATGTCGCGAAATGTCGCTAATGTCGCCCAACATATGTCGACATTGAGGCTCACCGACATGAAAATGGATGGTAATATAAAAATTGTATTATTTCGATCGGCATGTCGACCAAATCGATCCAAATAACAAAAAATAAAGACAGTTTTTCCTATTATGTCAACAGGATGTCGACTAATGTACATTAATAATATAATATATTAGTAATATTATATTATTGTAATACAGTATATTAATATAGTTTATTCCATTAATAATTTCTATTTAATATTTCAAATAAAATATTTATAAAAAATAATTAACAAAATAATAAATTAATTACTTTATAATATAAAACATAAAATATTTTTCAAGTAATAAAATATTAACTAGTTAGTATTTTTTAAAATATTTATTAAAATCAGAAAATGTTTATTAAATTTTATA